CCGATAAAGCATGGAATTCCGTTTCGGACATTATTGTACTCGGCAATCCCATCTTATTAATGTCTGGAGATAATTAAAATGTAAAAAACTTCTCTATGACACACTGGCAACTACATATAAACAATAATCTGAGTACTTATTAATGCAACAACTGTTAGGTAGAAACCAGAATGATCTCCTGAAAAATTCTTGTTAAATTTTTAGAAACCACGTAATTAGAAAATTCCAACACTATCGCTAAACAATCCAATTGGTCAAATATTTATTCTAGATGGCCACATTTCATCAGGTAAAAGGATTAAGGGTTTTTCTTGATCGCCTATTGTTCTTTCTGAGAATCGTGCATTAGTATGGAAAGCATACACTATTTTCAATTCTTCTAAGGATTTAGAATTGTAATGTATTTTCCTGTTGTGGTATTTTGGAATTCCCCAGCGAACGCTTCATCAAATCACGAAATAGAATTTTTATGAAATTTCTAAACGAGTTAAATTATAATAAATTACATTCGTGTAAATATAGGGAATTTTGGGAGTTAATAAAGGTTTCTTTTAAAAAATCTCTCTCTGTATAGATCTACCCAGTAGGTGTATGTAAAAAACAATTAAAGGGTTTTTAAAAACCAAGTTGCTACCGTGAATACCAGTTCAATAAAATAATAGTACTTGATGCGAGATTTAAATTGGAGTAGTCTTGCTAAACGTTTTAAAATTAATTGCGAGAGAGAATCTTAATAGGGACAGTAGCGTTTAATGGAAGCGCGTACAGAAACCGACTTAAGTTAAAGCTATATGTAGAATGGGAGGGAGAGAGTGAGAGAGAACGCAATTTATGTAGCTATTGTGCCCTAATGGAATTAAACGCAGTCTGGCAAACAAATTTACGCAATCTCCCCGCATTAGACCATTAGAGATATGTTTAAATTTAAAATGGAATGTAGCATACCAACTGGCAATACTTTTATTGTTAAAATTAATTAAACGAACATAAGAAGTAAATTAACATAAAACAAACGAACGGTTCAACAAAAGAAATTCGCGATTATTGGGGATCCATAAAAAAATAGGAGGAGCCTAAAAAACATGGCTGATAAGGTAGTCGCCAATATAAAAGAGAGGCTTTTCACTTCAAAATATTTACACAATAATCGTCAATCCGAAATTCACTTCTTTAATATCTATTGCCTTCTAGACCAACGTCTTATTTTATTTTGCACTAGGAGAGAAGTTTGAGGGCTCCATTATCAAAACAATTTCTATTAATTTACGACGTTTGATAATGATGATTTTAATTAACAATTTTATCACACACATGTACTATTGCCATTAGGACGTGTGGTAAACTTATTTGACGGAACTTACTTCTACGTTAGGGGGACCTTTCATGGTGCCGCAACATCAGATTTTTCGAAAAATGAAAAATCAAACGCAATAAAGTTTGCAAAACTATCTAACTATGCATTTAAAATAAAAGATACCATCTGTTCACGACAATTAGCATAACAACTTTTTGTTAGAAGTTATTTTAATAGAAATAAACATCAAAAATGCCCCACGGTGAATTCTTTTTAACGCAACTTGAAAATTGTCGCGAGTATTTTCCAATAATACCTATCTAATGATATACTTCAAACGTGGAAAAGTCGTCACAATAATATTGTAATTAATTTTATTACGTATTACTTTGCTATTAGCGCCGCAATAATAAAATTCTTGTACCAAAATAGTGACATAATAAGTCATGTTATGCGCATTCGTATGTAAATAAGTTTGGTAGGTAATTTAAAGACACACGAAACCTTGTGTGGAAGAATTTACAGGTTTTTTCATTTTTAAATATATTGTTTCTAGTGGAATCTCGATAGAATACATTATTTCCTGTATATGAGCATTGGTATTTGATAAATAATGTATATAGGTACATGTTAGTATGCATGTAACAATAATTGTGGTAACCGGTTTGTAGTTCATACACGAAAATTCTTTCATTTCAAAATTGTCCATAATACAAAACAACAAACACTGTATTGTGTTCTTGAGAATTATCCCAAGCTAAATTAGAATTAAATAACATCCATTTTACCTCTTGGAGTTCTTAAAGAAGAAATAAACAAAATTGCATAATGATTGTTAATTACCTAGTTCATTATCCTAAAATTGCTACGAGACACATTAAATCGCTTGAAAACAGATTCTGGGTAAAGTAAACTGGACCTTTATTAATATTTAATAAACTAACTATAAGATAAAAATAAAGATTTTGAAAAACAAAGATAATAAAAACTTATAAGTTCAATATTAATATGTATTCATTGTCTGTATATTGTGCCCTTTAATCCTTAAATCTATTTATAAATATTAAGATGAAACCGAACGCCAATAATAAAAAAAATTGTTTTCTTGCATTAGGGATTATCTGGAAGCTCTCAGTAGGTCTGCAATCGTTAAAAATACATCCGAACTCATCCGATTATAATAATCATGAAAACGGATTAATCTGGCATGACGTATCTGTACATAGTACAATAATTGTTGTGCTTGAAGTTAATATTACTTGCCAAATCGGCGACCAATCCTTGTCAGACTTGTCGCCAGTCAACAACCTCAAAATGCACTTTAGTCCCAAGTAGAAAAGATAAGAAATAAATTCTTTCTGGACATTCTGCGACGATTTTCAACTGGCGGAAAGAAGAAACAAAAGAGGAACCAGCTATTACAGCTCTATATCTTATCTTCAAAACGAATTATCGTAATGTACCTAGAAAGTATAACTAAAAGGTTGGGCGACTATGAAATATTTCCGGTATTTTTTCACAGAAAGTCTAGTTTACAAGCAATTAACGTAAATAGGACGTTGATTGTAAAATTTATATGCCTGATTTTGCGAATGATTTACAGAAACCACTTAGTAAACTGCTACTCTGCAAGCTTTGATCTTGATTCTATCTTTATTGCCAAAGGAATGACTAGAACAAGTTTTCAAATGATGTGCATATTATACAGATTTGCGTAGAGATAAAACGCTAAATTATTTCTTTAAATTAAGCACCCAATCAAAATATACAGTGTTTTGGCTGTAACAATATATTGGATTTGACTCATTGAATCCACAGTCTAATTATAAATCGTCCATGTAGTCCAAGGATGCTTAGCAGATCTCTTCAAGTGAATATAACAATTCTTTTTTATTACCATACAAGTTGTTGCGTAATTTAAACAATATTTAAAGGGCAATTAAAAATTTAGCTTCCTAAACCGCTTCTTTCTTACGACTTTAATCTGTTTGAACGATCTTCTTATCACATACAGTAAAAACTACGATCAGGTTCATAAACAAGTTAATAAAAAGCAGTTTTCACCTTAAATTAAAATTAGATATTTTATTACACAAATAATTCCCGACGTAAAAATTCCGATGTCAGTCTTCTTCATAGCAAAGCAAATAATACATCGGCTATTATGGTAATTAAACAACTACAATATAATTCACATCATGTGCATAATAGTTAGCATCTATTTTTAGATTAACATATAAATACAATCGAAACTGGTTTATTCATGGTATAAACCTGGTAGTTACTCTACATTTGCATAACGATGATGCGCTGATTTTTTTTGGATAAACTTCTTCAATAACTTCAAAGTAACTTTACTTTTCAACAGTGGGGTTATAGGACCACAGGTTCCTCTTATTCAATTAGATATTGGCTTTTTACTTGCCCCTGTATGTTTTTTTAAGGGCGCATTACATATGAGACACGAACTCCACAAGCAGGGATGTTTTGCTGACTTTTTTAATTACGTCCGCTGTCGCTCGGATTCGTTCCCGGAATATTCAGTTTCGAAGCCACTCTGTTTACCGCCTGAGATATTCCCGTTCTCCCTTATGTCTTTTTTATGAACTGTAATATAAGCATGTTCAAATATGATAATGGAAGAAGGTTTTGTTTATTTATTTCTTTAAGCGGTTATGTAACTAATGTATTGAAAGGCTGCATTTATTGCTCATAACGAATGTAATAATAATTAACATATAAATATAATTGATTGATGTGGTACAGATCAATTAATCTAATAGGTACCAGTAGTATTTGTTGTTTATTTGAATCGGTCAAAAGAAGCAAAAGTTTTGAATGAAGAGTTTTAGTTCGTAAAATAGTTGGGAATTCGCGGACCGCTTCATTAGCTTCGATTTCTTCATCCTTTCTAAATCACTCAGATGTAAAGTTTTACCTGATTCGAACTATTAAAAGTTCTACAAATGAAAGCAACATCAACGACACAACGCCGGGCTTGCAATAGCAGCAATAAAAGGAAAGAAAAAAAAAAGGCCGACAAGAGAATCTTTTGTATCGCATTTCGATTTCTTTTCTCCGAAATCTTGACCACAACATGACCTTCTTTATTCTTCATACTCATTTTTCAATGCCCCATCAAAGGACATTGGCATCGAGACGTTAATAATAGTGAAATTATTTGTACTGTCATTAAAAAAAATTAACACTTGCTTCAAAATTGGGACAAGCGGTTTTCAATTTGAAAGACTTTGTTCAATACAATATTTTAAAAATCAATTAATCGACTAATTTCTAACTCTATGCCAATTTTGGTATCAATCAATAGTGCAATTAATAAAAAAAGGGAATTAAGAAGAAATACCTAATATCTCATCAAAACACTGAGATTAACTCAAGTATCTAGTAATAGTTGGTACATCCAATTGATTTTGAGCAACTTTTTGTTTTAGGTTCACAAAATATGAGACCTATGGAAATTTTCTAAGTTAAAATTAAATCGTCCATAAGAAAAAGTTGTAAAATCAATTAATTCATCAATTATTTTCTTACTTTTGGTAGAAGAATTTACTCTGACTGAGATTTATGCTTTTGAACATGTTTGAAGAAAATTTATCTTTATTTTGAAGACCAATTCTTTTTTTCAATACCAGTTGCATCATTCGGAAAATTTATCAACCGTTTTGAAGAAAATGAATTTTTTTACCTTTGTTTTTAATCCTTTTTCACACCGGCGATTGTCGCACAGCGATGAGGTCTTGCACATTGTCATGAAATCCACAAACACCAAAACTACAATTCAGCTAGCAAAAAAGAACTATCTGTCTGTTATAAAGTATACAATGGGACAATTTATATTAAACGTTCCATTCTCGTAAAACACTGGGCTTTGACGGACACCAACATTGTTTTCTTCACGTCAACGCGTATTGTACTGTTCGAGAATCTGGTCACCACTACGTGGTTCTATTCTTTTTTCCTTATAGCTACGCGAGCCTCCACTCTTCCTCCTCGACGTGTGTTCTAACTACAACTGAAGAAACTTGTACGGTACCGTTTACAAATAATAGTGTTACCGTCCAAATTTTCTATTGTGGCTAAGTAAGTATTATTAGATTGACGTCAGGACTGGTCGACCAATGGCTGTGTTTTAAATTGTAAACACCTGAGTGCATAATAAAGAGACTGACGCTCAGATAGCAGGTAGTTAAGGAACTGACTGCGAAGATCTAGTATGTAGCGGTGGAGGAGAGTTAGTCTCATCGAAGACGGTGAAGAAAAAAACAAACAAAAAAATTATGGATTGTTGATGACAATTAGAACATTTGAACATTACGACAATTGTCAAAACATATGAAGAAGTATGACCAACGACTGAGTTGATGTCATAATCATTTTACTACAAGCGCATGTTGTTTAACTAGATCTCGCTCAATATTGGACTTTCTGACATCTTTTTGTCCAATATTTAATCGAAGGATGTAATGTATGAAATGAAGGAGTGGAGGTGGATGAATTAGGATAATCCTATAATGGGAAAAGTTTGAGTTGGCTTTAAAAATTTAAGGAATTGTAAGGTATCAGGTAACGGTTGAAAGTTTTAAAACATGTAGGTCAAAAGATTAGAGATCATTTGTCCAATTGGTTCGTCATATTTGGAAGATGGGAAAAAATTTTAATCATTACAAACGGGATAAGGTTGCGGTCATATCAAAAAAGGCAGACGAGGATAGTTGCGACAATTTTAGAACAATTAATTTTAATTAACTCTTGGGTCAAAAACCTGAACTTGAATCGCACACAGAATGAAGAAATTTTAAGGGATGAACAATTCGGGTTTAGAAGAAACAGGCGAACGCTTATCAGTTGAAAAAGAAAAGAAAGGAAGAGCGTACACATAGAATTGGAGAATCAATACAGAGCAACAAGTATAGCTGGTAGGACACCTTCCCAGACATGAAGGGCTAGTTAGGGACTTAAGGAGAGCAGAGGTAAACATAGACTACATTACTGTTCGCACCGAGCGGCATGGCCTAGAGGTCTAGACCATTGCTTAGCATTCGGGAGGACGCCGGTTCGATTCCGGGTCCGCCTGCCTTGGTCCAAGTTTTTCTGTGGGGGGTAGTAATCTTCCATAGATAATCTTTCATTCTCTTCTGTCTTCATTTCGTCCGTCTCATCTTTCTCACCCGAACCACCACCCACCCATTCCCACGATTCCTGAAAGCAGGCTGAAGAGGGCCTTCCGGCATAGTCCGGAGGGACTGCCCTCCCACCAGCATTACTGGCTGGTGGGAATGAAACACCCAAAAGAAAAAAAAAAAGTACTGTTCGCAAATGGTTAGAGGTGTAGGTTGTTCGAGTTTTTGCGAAATGCGAATAAGATTGAGTTAAGATAGGAAGAAGTGGAGATGCGTGTCTAACTAGTCTTCGGGATGAAGATTATATGATGACGATGATGAAACCTTCTCATTCTTTTATCAAATATCTGAAATGGCTGATTTCCGGTATCTAGTAAGTTAGATAACTCAGGATGGCAGGAGCAGTAGAGATAGAAATAGTTAAGGATGTGGGATGGTGTAGTTTTGGGGAAATGCAAAGATTAGCTCAGGATAGGAAAAAGTTGAGGTGTGTGTCCAACGGGTTTTAGCACAGATCTTACCCATTTAGATAACATAATCTTTCCATTCCTTCTTTTGTTAAGATTTCTTTGTGCATATTCTTTTTACTCACTATCAGGTTTCATCATTGAAACTCTATGTTTTGGAACATGATAGCGTACTGTTTTCCTCATTACCTACATCTGACGATGGTTACAAACGATCATAAATGTTCTTTAAAGAGTTCCAAAACCTGATCTTGCTTTCTCAGCCAAACCATAAAATAAATACATGGTAACACATGTGTGTATAATGTGTATATACAAGGATAACAATAACAATAATAATTTCTGATAAAGTAAACTAGAATTTTTCACCTACTTTCGTCTTTGGGTGTGATGGAAAGCAATGATGTTTTGTTTTGACGTTTGAAACGATAGGGACGATGCTACCGCTTCCACTTACTTTCGGAATTATCGGCACCCATTAAAATTACTAGATATCCATATTAAATACCAGACAGTAATTTAAAATACCTGTACGTATTTTAAGAAGAGATGATATTAGGTAGAAACAACAGGTTAAAGCTTTTACAGGTTTATAAAATTAAAACGCCGAAGAATGGAGTAAAATGGACGACAGATAAACATAGAAAAAAGTTTCTGTTAATCTCTCATAGTTGAAGAGTGCAATTATAACATCAAATCAGTTATCTAATTTAAAAAAAAATAATTCTCCTGCGTCCCACCCGGATTCTTTACGAGAACTTATTAAGTATTTCAAACTGTTTTCTCAGAAATAATCAAATAATAATAAAACTGTAACCGCTATCTATATCTTCGGCTGGTTCAAACATTGAAAATTGATTTTACCTACAACCATTTCCATGAATTTACTTACTTTACTTTGCTTCAATAACCGCTGCCTTATCACCAAATTGTTTACCTTAAACAAGACTCACGGAGCGTCATTTGTGATCTTGTTTAGGATGTTTTATTAAAGTGACAAAGGGATTATGCCTAAAAGGAGTATAAACATACTAATGCATTTACCTCGGAGAAGGTTCAATGTCCTTGTTTCTTAATGCATTCTCGAGGGAAACAAACTAATGTTCCACTCTGATGGTACTGATTACTGACAATTACAAAAATTCCAAGTGAAATTGGTATTTTATATGTATCGTCGTTTTCCAACACTTACGTACATATAACAATCACGTTTATTGGATTGCTCATAATATTCTGTATAAGTAATCAAAAATTATTAAAAAGAACCCCTATGGTTTTACAACTCGCTACAGCACAAACTAACCAATTGAATAATAGGGTTAATAACTGAAAATCTTTATAAATTTCTTGAATCTCCACCTCATGGTTTTACAGTATCTTTCCACAGATATCTGATATGTTTCAGTATTGGGGCATTTGCTATAGGGTTTTTCTTCGAACATCAGCTCATTTTATTGCGATGGTACACATCCTCCTAGATACATCATCATCAACATAGGGTCATCAGCTCTACTTCCCTAACAGTTAGAGAACAGTCACCTATTTTAGGTCTTCTCCTGTCCCATTATCCAAGTATTTCTCCTTCTTCTAGTACGTCTCTAACTAGCCCTTCATGTATCAGAAGGTGTTTCACCATTCTATTTCTTCCTTTTCCTAATTGACCTCCAAGACGCCTTTTGTTCTCCTGTTCACTGTAATACCTCCTCATTTCTAACATTTTTTGATACCTTTTAACAATCCTTTTAAACAGAAGTGATTTCTTTCCATAGAAGATACAGAGGGCTTCGCGCTGTTTTTCATAGAAACATTTTTTTATATTTGAAAGGTAATTCTAAATTTAATTAGGTACGGGTTCGATCCCGGGGAATCCAGTTTCGTAGCCCCGCTGTCTACCGTCTCGACTACTCTCATTCTTCCTCGTGTCTTTCTTATCAACTATAATAAAAGTTATGTCCCAATCCACGTCCGAAGTAGGTTTTGTTCATTGCATTCTTCAGACAGTTATGTAATTAATGTATCGGAAAGCCGCATATATTGTTGATAACAAACAGAATATAATTGCTGCTTTAAGTATCTATTGATGGTGTAGTTCTTCTTTTGTTCACGCTGTTGTTGCTTTATTATGACCACGTGTTGGGCGTGCACGTGTTGGATATTTATCGTGCGTCTGTTCTAGTCTTGTACCGTGCTACTTATGAAAGTAATTCATTAAGCTACTCACATGTGAAAGGATATATAACGATGATGATAGTAATATTAAGCGAGTTCATCAGTACGTTATTTTATGGATTTCGATATGGATTGACCGACCGAGCATGCCAGCCAGCGTGGCGACCGTGATTTTCTGGTGCAAGAAATCTCTTCTTTAATTATTGCATCGACACACACATATACAAGTGTATTTCAACCAAAAGAAAGTTACGTACTTATTTGTGAGCAGATGAAACACTAGACGTCCTGTCACCGTTTTATGATAATTTTCTCGTTTCATTTTAAACGCGTTAAGCAATAAGTCGATATAAACAACGTCACTGATAGTCTCTGTATACGTTGACCCGCATTTATAATTGAAAGGGATCGGTAGTACATTGTGATAAATACATATTTTAGTGCGTTTTTATATTAATCCTTTAGTCGTATGGATCAGGATTTTTATGAGATTGCAACTGTTCTCAAATTTGTGGAATTTTCTAAAACGCACTGTTAAGACAGCAGGTAAAAGTTGGTCTGTGTTCTATCGGGCTGCCTGCGACGCGCTGATGAGATCCAAAAAGATCGAAATCGCGATCCGCATCTGGCAGTTTCGACAGAATACAGACCACTTCGAATTATTTTATTTTGTTCTCAAATTGTTAGGAATGAGAAGGTGGCCACAAGATAGGAAGGAGTCATGATGATAAACGGTAAGATTTCTCCTACTGGAGCTGATTAATTTCAGGGATCATGGGCAAAAATGGAATCAGGAAATTTATTCCTTTATAGTTTCCCTGGGCAAGGATGACACGCAAAATTGTGAAGCGTTCGAAATGTGGTGTTACAGGCGAATGATGAGGATACTGTGGACAGAGAAGGTTAGAAATGAAGACGTATTAGAAAGAATAGGAGAAAAGAGGACTCTATGGAAGTCAATGAGGAATAGGCGAGATAGGTTAGTAGGACACCTTTTCAGTCAGAGACATATTAGAGGAAGAAACGGGAGTTAGGAGGGGTAAAGGTACACATAGATTAGATTACCGTTCGCAAATAGTTAAGGATGTGGGTTGTTCTAGTTTTAGGGAAATGCGAAGATTAGCTCCGGATAGGAAAGAGTGGAGGTGTGTGTCCAACCAGTCTTAGGACTGACGACATGATGATGATGATGATGATGATGATGATGATGATGATGATGATGTTACGTTCCGCTTTTTGTTCATTTCTCTCTACATACTTGCAGGTAAATTTAAGGCTAAAAAATTTTTGGTACGACTCTTGTTCAGGTCCGCTTTTACCCTGTCTACAGTTTCCATGAGATAACTGTCCCTTTTATTGTACATATGTAGTTAACTTTTAACATTAACTTTGAGATTAAATAAAATTGCAACAATTGTCAAATGAGGAACTAAAAGGTGTATGCAGGACCGTATTTGGGTAGTTG